GGGTCTGGGTGTCCAGCAGCCGGCTGGGGAGGGGGCGTGGAGCAGGCGGGGGGGGGCGTATCCAAGAGGCCGGGGGAGGCTGGCCCCGCCCCGCCCCGCCCCGCCTCCAGCCCTGCAGCCCGCGGCCCGCGCCGGCTTTCGCTTTCAGTCGAGGCTCGCGGAGCCTGGAGAGAGGGCGCGAGCGCGCGGGGCGCCGGGGCAAGCGCCCGCCAGACCACGCCCGCGCTCATGGCGCCCGCCGCCCTCTGGGCCGCGCTGGCCGTCGGACTGCAGCTCTGGGCCGCGGGGCACGCCGTGCCCGCCGAGGTAGGTGACTCGCGTGGCCCCACGGGAGACAACCGCCCCGCGCGCCCACCCCGGCCGGCGCGCAGCCCCCGGGAAGCCGTCGTGGACCGCGGGCCCCGAATCGCTGCCCCTCATCCCCATCAGACACGCGCCACGTGCCTCGGGGGGACCCGCGGGCGACACATGCGCCCGGGGCAGAACTCTGGCTCCGTAGCCCCGCGTCCCAAGGAAGCACCCGGCCTTGCCGCGAGCCCGAGCGCAGACCAGGGCTTTTGGGGCTGACCCTGGGCGCACACCCTGGACCCCTGCTCCTTTGCTCCTGAGATTGCCGCGACAGTCCTTCCCTCCCAGGCTGGAGGACGGGGCTGTACTGGGGCGCTGCCCCCACTGCCCACGCCGGGCACCCTCTTCAGAAGATTTCCTCCTCCTCTGGGCTATGGTTTTCCTCTTTCTTAGAAATACTGGGGCTGTGTGTCTGAAGAACAGGGCCAGGTGTGCGGCAGGGCCTAATAAGGGCACATTTGCACCGTGCTCTGCCCCTTGCCTGGGCTCCTTCCCCAACCCGCTCCAGATGTGTCCAGGGGCCACTGCGAGGTCTGTTCTCTGTGGGCTCTGGGGACAGGGGAGGTGACGGAGGTCTTCTGGGCTGGTATCAAGTAAGGCAGAAAGTTGTCTAAGGGGCCCTGGGGAAGTGGACAGAGCGGAGACCCTGAGCTGTTACTCGATACTGACATCACCTGCCCGCAATAGCAAGGTCCAGCCTCTGTGGGTCCTTTGCCTGTTTTTGACTGTCTCCATGGTCTGGTAACCCCATTTTACAGAGAAGGAAAGTGAGGCTCAGAGAACTTGTATTTCGTGAAAGAGCGTGGGGAGAGGTCTTCCTCCAAAGGGGGCATCTTCTTCCTTTGCCCCCCCGTGGCTGGGGAGGAGGTGCACATCCATCCCTTCCTCATGAGCCTACCCTGACGGACACATGGTATGCGGATCGGTCTGGACATCTTGACCGGGGAGGAAGGTGGGAGGTGATGTTGTCTCTTGTGGTGACATGGGGTGACTCAGGAATCCAAGGCCAAAGAGTCCAGTTCTCGAGGGTGGAAGACAGGGGCTGTCACACTAGAATTGACTCACCTACAGTGGGTTCCAGCAGTGGGTCCTGGGGGGCTGCCCCAGTGGAGGTCCTGGGTGGCTTTTGGGTCAGGAGAATCCTAGCTCTGAGGACCGAGTGTGACTGGGGACACCTGTGGTCCCAGCCTGACTACGGGGTGCTGCCACAGACCCTGGCCTCTTAGGGGGTCTTCCTGCCGCTGAGTTTGGGGCTGCCCGGGGTGAACCCTGGGGCTTTGTGAGCTGCTGACGGGATATGGAGGGCAGGCACGGGGCTGTGCAGGACACGGCTAAGGTCCTGGAGCTGCGTGAGGGCTTTCCTTCCCACTTCCTTCCCCTTCTGCCCAGCTCCTGCGTCAGCTCAGACTCCCTTGTCCTGGGACTGCTGCCTCAGCCACTTAGCTGGTCTCCCCACCCGCCCCTCTCCCACTGCTCCTCCTTGGCAGAGACCCTTCCCCAGCATGGAGCACATCTGCCTGCCTGGGAGCCTCCTGTGGCTCCTGGTGGCCAAGGCAGAGACTCCCCCAGGTATCCCAGGCCAGAGTGAGCCATCTGGGTTTTCCGCCCACCTCCCCCCACACACACTCCTCACCCCTGTGAAGCCGGTGGTGGTGGTCGTTGTGCGTCATTGCGCAAAGAACCTTTGCCCATGCTGTCACCTCTCCGTCATACACCCCTTAGCTCTGACCTTCAAGGCCTTTTGCAAACGCCTTCCTCCCCAGGAAAGCCTTTTCTCATTCTCGAAGTTGGATCTGATCTCTTGGAATTCTCAGGACCATTTGTTCCTTTCGAGGGCAGATTACATTCTGCTTTTTAATCTAGTTGTGTCTCATCCGCTTCAGTGGATGGAAGGTTCCTTGAGGGCCGGGACTGGGGGTTGCTTCGCCTCCTCATTGTTAGCACACGGCAGCTCCTTTTTCCTGAGCCCCTGCCAAGCGTCAGGCACTGTGCTGGGCACTTTGCCACAGAATTGCACTGAAGCCTCCCCTGCAGCAACTCCTGAAAGGCGGGCGCTGCTGTTCCCTTTGAGAGATGTGGAACCTGAGGTCCAGGGAGGTGATGGCGTTTCCCAGGATTGCAGAGCTGGGGGTGAGGGGGTGGGATTTGAATACAGGGCTGCCTAATTCCACAGCTCTTTTCACTCTGCACTCCCCTGCGTGTACCCCCTCTCCTGCCCCCAGCCAGTCCCACACACACAGTGGGTTCTCAGGAACACTGGAGGGAATTTGATTGAGTCGTAGAAAGAGCCCCAAGGAGACCTGTGCTGGCCACGCGCTCACTTTGCCATCAGGGCTTTTGCCCCCTTTAACAGCCTTATTTCCCAGTTGGTGTGGAATGCATCATTCATTCACTCGAGTCGTTTATTCATTCGACTAATGCCAGTTAAGCTAGCAGGGCAGGTGAGTGCTTGGTGCTCTCTGATGGGGGTGGGCAGGGTCCCAGCTGTCTGGGGAGGAGGTGAGGGGTCTCTGCCTGCTGGGTCTGGCCTGCTGATCCCTGGAAGTCTTGGGGCTGAGGGGCTGCTGTTTGTCTCCTCATCACCCAGGGCCTGGGGCCAGTTCGGGTTAGGGGAGAGATCGAGGCTCCCAGGCTTGACATTGGAGAGGAGTTGGGTGATCCGGGTACTTGCTGGCCCTGGGCTCTTCCCTCCTTCCACCACATCTCTGTCCCTTTGTCCCTTGCCTGGCGTCCCAGCAGGGAACCTGTGTGCTCACTGAGGATGTGGCCCCGTGGTTGGGCACCTCTTCAGAGGGCAGTGGGCAGGTGGCCAGGCACCCTGATGCGGGGCCATTTATTCATTCATTCCCCAAATGTTCGTGAATGCCTACACCAGGTCCAGCCCAGTGCCTAGCTCTGGGGACCCTGAGATGACCACTACCCGGCTCCAGCCTTCCACTACCCAGCTCTGCCCCGACTGCCCTTGTGACCTGGCCCCACTGAGTGAGCCTCTGCTTTCTCATCTGTTGGCCTGGAGAGCGTTCCCCACACTGCCCTGCTGCCCTTCGCAGGGCCCTGTAGATGTGGAAGGTTGAGAACCTGCCTGGTATTCTTGTGTTGGATAGTGGCCCTAACTGTTGTCCCGGGGCCTAGCCTAGTGGCTTCCTGTAGCACTGTCCCTCCCCAGGGCTGCGTGACACTTTATGGCCCTTACCATCCAGTGCTTCCTGGAGGAATGGCCAGGACGGTGTATGTGGGGAGGGAGGAGCACTGCTGCTAGCCACGGTGTGTGTGTTACATTCAATTCACTTTTATGCCATGCTGGCTGCTTTTCTGTACACACACCTGCCACAGGGCCTTTGCACGTGCTTTCCCCTTTGCCTTGAATGCTCTTCCGGCTGATACCCCTGGTCTCACTCCCTCACTTCTTTCTGCTCAAATGGACCATCCTGCCTATAAAAACTCCCTGCCAGGTACTCTCACTCCCTGACCTGCTTTGTTTTTCTAGATAATACTCTTGACCTGTTATATTTCCTTCACTATTATTGTGTCTTCCCACAAGAATGTAAGCACAGTGAGGGCAGAGACTCATTCACTGCTACAGCCCCATAGCCTAAAATAGGGTTTCTCAGTCTCAGCACTGTTGACGTTTGGGCTGTGTAAGTCTTTGTTGTTGGGTGTTTAACGGCATCCCTGGCCCCTACATACTAGATGCCATGGTACCCCGCTCAGTTGTCAAAATAATAATCAAAAATGTTCCAAAAATGTTCATCTGACCTTTATAATGACCTTGTTTTATGGATGAGGAGACAGGAGAGTTTGAAAGGTCAGTGGTGGCAGAGCTGGGTCCTGGTTTGCCTTCCTCTTTAGGATAGTTCTCTGGGCCCCTCTCCCTGCTGTGTGGGGTCTGCTGAGGCTGGAGATCCTCTCCCAGAAATGCTCACACTCCCCCTGTCCCCAGCCTTGCTCATGATGGGGCCACCGCTGGCAGTGAGCGACTCAAAGCCCCAGCAAGCATGTGATTTGCCCGGAAGCAGGCAGAGAGGGAAGTTGGGGGTGGGGAGAGGGGTGCCATGGGGTGAACAGGAACAAAGTGGAGGTGCTGGGGCTCCCAGTTCTGGATATTGTCTGCCAGGCGCAGGAGAGCAGCCCCGATGACTCTGGGGAAAGGCCCAGCCCTCCCTCTGCTGTTTACTGGCCATATGACCTCGGCAAGTTTTTCCATCCCTGGGAGCCTCTGTGTTCTAATCTCTAAAATGGGAATAAACCCCACCCTACCAGCTGGTTGTCAGGATTAACAGTGCTTTCTGGTCCTGCCTGTGGCCTTGCAGGCCTGACCTGACCTCTGGGTCACGGAGCGGTGCTCAGGCTGAGATGGGGACCCCCATGGAGTCAGACTCCCTGGCTCTGAGCCAGAGGGCTCCAAAGCTTGGGCGGCAGCCCTCCAGTTGACCAGGGTTCCTGTCCAAGTGGCTTTACTGCCCAACATCCCTGAGAGCAACTTCCCTCCTACCCGCCTCCCTCTCATACCATCTGCCCAACTGAGGGGCCTTATGACCTCCATATTGGGGCAAAGGCTTCAGGAAATCACCTCCCCACCCCTTTCAGTGAGTGAGAGGTGCTGTGTGTCATTTGGGGGTGAGCGAGGGATACATTTGGTGTAGTATAGAGGGGATGCAGAAGGTTTCAGCTTGCAAGATGCGCACAGGTAGCTTCCACGTGGTCTCTAAAACCTCTTCCATTTCCAACCTCTGTGATGATGAAGGTTGTTTACTTGTGTCCCCAAGGAGGGCATGCCCTGTGGGGGCTCTTCTGAGGTCATGCCGTTCATTCCCTTGTCTCCAAGTGACTTCTAAGATAGCATGGCTCCAAGGAAGGAGCACTGGCCTGAGTAATAGGAGATCAGAGTTACCATCTGAGCCCTGTCACCAGCTCACTGTGTGACCTTGCTCAAGTAACTTACCCTCTCTGGGCCTCAG